TTCGTTTGTTAAATGAAATAAATAGTTTAGATGATGAAATAAATAAATTATGTGAAATTGTTGGGGATTCTGCTCAACTGTTTTTTTTCAGCAACTTTCTTGACCATTCTAAGTCAATTTATCATGAAATTCTAGATATCAAAAGTTTTTATCTTACAGACCAATACAAAGCAGACTTTCCTCAACATTCTCATCTTTAATAAAAATAATGAAAGCTTCAAAAATCGGTTTTGTACTCAAACTAAAAGATAATCAACGTTTTATTTATTTTTCTCTTATTTTATTGAAATGGAAGTATTTACTCGTTCATTTTCTGTCCATCTCGTATGATTTTTAAAGTTTTAGAATTTTTAATGTGATTTTCAATTTTTTGGAGAGGGTTTTTGGTTGAATTTTTAAAGGATTGATGAGAACTAGTGATGTTACTGTAAAGGAAGGACATTTCCTCTTACTTCAGCCTGTAGGAAGTTATATTATATTGTTGAATCATCACCCTAAAGGAATTACAAAGAACCGCTTATCTTACTTAACTAAAGTCAGATCATTTTTTGATGATTGGAAGAGTAATTCAAATTGTAAGTTTGATTGAAGTTAAGCTGAACTGTGCTAGTGTATTGCTAATGAGTTCTAATTTGACCATTCGTTTGTTATGCTTACATCTGTTTGAAAGAGCACCACAATGTCTGTGTTTGATGAAATGACAATTTGACTATAATCAGTTAAGACTTTTGTCACTTTTCAAACAGAGCAGTTGTGTTTACAATTCTCCTTTTGTAGAAATAAATCCTTTGAGTTTATTAATAAATTGTTTAATTCATTATGAAGAATAAATTGTAAGTTCTTCGATGTTTGAGTTTGTTAAATTCTATTGAAATTCTTATGATGAATTTAGACTCAAAATGTTATTAGAATTTTCTTTAATTTTATTTTTGAAGTTTTATGAAATTCTTTTTGTTTAAGTTTCGAAAACTCATCAGTATTGTAGTTCAACAAGCCCTTTTATGAGTCTAAAGTAATTCAGAACCTTGAATGAATCCATCATCAATAACTCTTCAAATATCAAACATTAAGATTTCCTCCAAAAAAACTTCACCTCAAAAAACTCCATCACTTTAAGATTTTTTTTTGAGAACTTAAAAAATCGATTTAAAAAATTGATGAAAAACGTTTTTTCATAACAAAAACAAATTTACACTTTTACTTTATTTTTTTTTCATTTAACAACAAAATTTGATAATTTTTATATCAAAAATTCTTCTTCAATTACTTATTCATCATGAATTATCAACTGTTTTTATTGGAAAGAATGTGATTTTTACTCATTTTAATACTTTTTTAAAGACCTTTTTTAAGAATTTTTCATTTAAGTTTTTTTTTCTTAATTTTATTTTTTTTTTCATTTCTTTTTTAATTTTAATATTTTTTATATGTTAACATTTTGTGTTTTACTCGTAAAGTTTTCATTTTTTTCTCACATTTTTCCCGAATAATTTCAACTCATATTTTCTTTAGCTTAGTATCGTATGTTAGTTTTCAAAGAGTACTTTTTACAGAGTCCCTTCCGTTTATTTTTTTAAGTTTTATTTTCATTTATAATTCAAATTTCTAACTAATTTAGTTTCTTCTTCATTTTACTTAACACTTTTTAATTTCATTTTTCCACATTTTTCTCATCCATCTTTTCTTCTTTTTCTTGAATGACACACAAAAAGTTTTTTTTTCTTTCGGATCAAGTGGTTTAGTGGGCGTATGAACGGAGATGTTGATTTAAACACCTACAGCTGTCGTTGCCATATTTGCATGTCTGTTTTCGAAAGGTTTTTATTTTTGCTGATTCTAGAGGTAATTTTGCCTCGTGTTTTGGATCATTTGACATGTTTATTAATAGAATAATCTGATTTTTGGATTCTCACTAGGCATTCCTACTTAGTCATGAGCTTCAATGAATTGAGATTGAACTTTAAATTCAAAATTTTGAAAGATTCAATTTGAAAGTGGAGAATTTTGAGTAAATTTGAGAAAAGTCGATGATAGAATCAAAGAATGGTTGGGATCTCACTTTGAACTGTGATTCAAGATTCAAGTAGAAGATCCATCGAATCAAATTATCACTAATCATTGTTAAGTCCATGTGAAACTATCGAAACCCATCACATGGAGTATCTATTGAAGATTTAGCTCATATTCATCTCAGATCTATGAATTCTCATAGATTATACTCCAAACTTAAGTAGGAAAAGATTCTCAAGCATGTGACTTTCTTATAGACAATATCTCATGTTTGTTTGAACTACAGCTCTCCATACATGAGCGGATAATATCCCCGCATGAGCACAACACTGATTTACACCAACCGAACTCCTTAGAAACTTTTCAATTCTATGCATCATTCAAGCATCTTTCTGTCTGATTAAGGTACAAAGATAGTTTACAGGAAAATAAAAATATTTCACTTTCCATGCGAAACACATGTCAGTAATTTGAGTTGGGAATATTGCAAGAAGATTTGCTGTATTTTAAATATAGAACATTTTTTTGTTTTTGTTTTTTAAAAGGAATGATCAAAATCTGCTAGAAAGAAAATGCATTGTGTTGGGTTATATATAGTAAATAGCAATTCTGACCTTTTCAACCTTGTCTCAATACTTATTCTCTTGGAAGATAGTGGGATCATTTTTGTAATGTCTTAAATTATCAAATTTGCAGGATTCGATACGCTGGAAATTTGATGATTTTAGATGAATTTTTTCTTATAATTTTAATATAAAAACAAATCATTTTTTGATTTTAATCGTGAAAAGATAAATTCGTTAATAAGTTCATTCGGAGAAAAAAGAAGATTTTTTAATGTTCAAACTTTAGTTGCTGCTGTTTTATTGGTGAGAGTTTCGAGGGGTTTTGGGGGTTAGAATTGAGAAAGTTGGAATTATTTAAGATTTTAATGAAAGTTTTCAGATTTTTTGATGTTTTTTGAATTCTTATGATTTTATAAAATTTTCAAAACTCCCCCCATATCGATCCCCAAACTCATTATCTTATTCATACCCAGTTTTTGCTGTACTCGTGAAAAATGAACTTTCCATTTTTTTTTTGTTTAATTATTATCATTTATATGTTGATATACATTTTTAATTATTGCATTATTGTTCACTGTGGAAATAACTCAAGTTATCTTAATATTTTTTTTGTGCTAAAGACTTTTCTTCTTGTTTTTTTCGTGAAAATTCGTTGAAACATTTTTTTTTTGTGTTACCTTTCTTGATATTTTCGACTTGAACGATCAGGGAAAGTATCCAATAATTTTGGCAATGCCTTTTGATTCTACTGTTTTTTTTTGTCTGCCTTTTACTATTTGACTGTGTGATAATGCTACTCTGTGCAATGTGCATCAATGAAAGAATGCAATTTTGTAAAGAATAAATTTTTTTTGTTTTTTTTGTGATTTTTTTTTAATTTTTTAAAAAATTCAGCGCGTTTTTCGAAGACAAAATTATTTTTATATGCCTGATTGAGACAATTTTGGCAGTTCTGGTGGAATATTCAGCTTTTTTGTGATAGATTTACAAATTTTAAAAGTGCCTTTTAGGTGTGAATGTCTCATTAATTTTAAAGTTGAAAACGCGCTTAAATGTAAAACCATTTTATTCATTTTTATGTTAATTTTCTCAAAGAAAATTCGTAAGAAAATTTTTTACTTTTTAAAAAAGTACAAACTTGAATGAATAAACTTTAAAAAATTGTTTTTGGATGAAACTTGAATCTGAAGGGAACAAAAAGTTAAAAATCCGCATTTCCGCTTCTTGTTCTTTGTTACCTCAAGGGCATTCATTTCCTTTTTCTCATCTTTTTTAAAACAGGAATTTTTTTTCATCCCGAATTTAAATTAAATTCATAATTTTTTTCGTTCATCGTGTATCGTTTCCTTGATATTTATGTGGTGCCCAAAGTTTGCTGTTTTAAAATGACTTTAATTTGTAGGAGTAAGGTTTGCCTTAGCTCGCTTTGCTTTCTTTTTAAAGCGATTGTTCAAAGCTTGCATTTCTTAAATAGTTTCAATAGATTTTCCACTTCAAGTAGCAAACATCCATCAATTTTAGCTGACGGATCTTAATTTCAAAATTCACCATCGCATGCTCAAATCACATGACAATTCTACATTCTTCAAGTATCCCCATTTAAAGCTGCTTTGGACACCACCACAAACTCATTCATTTTAAAATTATATTTTCCGAAAGAAAAAAACATGCGAATAAAATTAAATAGAAACCAAAAAAAATCTAAAAATAAATTTATTGCAATTCATCATCTTCACATCCACAGTTGCAGTCATATCCATTTAAACATTCGTCGCAATCAATTTCGTCATCTTGTCAGTATCTGAAATGGCACCAAAAATAGAAAATCGAAGTCAATAAATTGAAAAATCAGAGCTTTTATCGCAGTAATTGCAATTGGGGGTCGCTCATAAATGATGTTTAATCCTGGACTATATCTCATTCTCAGTGAGCTGAAGTGGCTCGGTGGCGGAATGGTTTAGTACTTCGGTACCTAATTATTGCAATACCGACACAGCGATCATGGGTTCGAGACTGGGTATGGGAAATTTTTCACTTGTTCTTTTTCGAATCATATGTACTGGAAATGAGGCTCACAGCCTTCCTTTGTAGGCTACAGACAGAAATGTCATCAAAGGAGTGGTTCGGATCCCACTATAAATTGTAGGTCTAGGTTTGAGTGCAGTGGTTTGGCGCAACCTCACTCGTTAAACTCTCATTAGCTGCGAATCGCCCTAGCGCACCTCTGGATCACAATTGATCTGAATAGGTAAAGGTTTTTTTTTTTTTTTTTTTATATCTCATTCTCAGCTGAGAAAAGGTTTCAATAAGTTAAAAATAAAAGTCAATGGCAATTTATGAATTAAGAGTGTTGTAGGGTCAAAGAAGGACGATATTTCAGATAACCTCATTATTGAACGACCCCAAATTCAGCTTAATAGATACTTACAACCATGACACAGGAACCCATTGTGGTGTTGATTGAACCGTATCGATGGCATTCTCAAGTTTTGCTATCGTTTCACCAATATCATTATTAACGATGGTCAAATCGAAAAAGTGTCCATATGCTGAACGCAGCATGTCTGATTCCTTTCCTAAACGCTCCAAGCTTCCATCATACTGTGAATATTTAAAAGAGGCAAACATATCGATTAGATAAAATAAAAAACTTTTAGGACAGCACAAAAATACATAGACGAGGCATTTCGATATCAAGTAAAACTTGACCATACTCACATCAGCAATATTTTGTAATGATGGCGCAGCAATGAATACTACATAGGGTGAAAATTCCGCTGTTCGTAGAATCTTTAGGGCTTGTGGCTCAACATCGAGTATTGCCATTTTACCATCGGCATGAATTCGTCGAATTGTATCAAGCTTTGTACCATACATCGCATCCTCATGTGTACCATATTCCAAATAGTCATTCGCTGATATATCCGCCATCATTTCATCATGTGAAATGAAATAGTAACTCCGGCCATTCTCTTCATCTGGTCGCTGTGGTCGTGTTGTGTCTATAATGAAAATATTTTTTATTTTTTTGTGAACTCAACCATTTTTTTTTTGTTTTATCTGTTCTCATTTCATTTAATCATAAAAGTTATTTACGTGGTATGGGATAAGCATATTTATCGGGATATTTTGCAATCAGCGTATTTTTAATATGACGTCGACCCACTCCATGAGCACCGAGCAAAACTAATGTACGACGTTGGAACGTTGGATCTCCTACTGAAAATAAATAGAAACATAAATTTGGAGGTTGTGGTTAGCTATTGAGATATCATATTTTTTTATCGGATGGGGTGATGGTAAATTAGTTTATTTTGTGATCTTGCTGGCTTGTGGATAGTTAAGGATTGAAATATGAGGTTGACAATATTTTATTGAATGGAAAATCTAGTCAGTTTGATTGGTTGAGAAGACAGGTTGAGAGTCGACATTAGTGTTCTCTAGGAGCAACTCTAGTGGACTAGACTCAACCATAATCAGTCACCAGATGGGAAATTCTAGGAATATAACTGTAATTTTCGGGTTGTAAATTCTGTTAACTTTAAATAAGCAATTGTAGATGATTTTGTATTTTAATCAAGTATTGCAGCTAATGGTTCTTAGTTAACTCTCAACTTTGTTTCAAATTGTTGAAGCATAATAAGTATATTGTTATGTTAACAGCAATAACTCAACTTTTTTGAGTCCAGATTTACTCATGAAATTTTATTTTAAGAACACAACTTGAAGCACTTCAACTCTAAAAGAAAATACAGCGAAAATTTTGAAGAATTCTCAAATAAATCATTGTAATACTGAGAACTCATGCAGAAGTCTTCAAGTAAGTGTCTTCTTATTATCTGAGAAAATATTCACATTTGAATATCCTTAAAGAAAATAAATTTTGTGAAGAACATCAAGATTTAATTGTTTCCAAACTCGAATAGCATAAGACTTGATGTAAGGAGATTTGTTCTCAAGGTGTAGCAAAAATATTATTTCATCCTTTAAGCATTAAACTTATTGAAAAAAAAAACAACTCAAGAAAGTTTTGAAAATTTTCATTTAATGAAGGATTCTTTCGGGTCATTTTGATGTTACGGTAAAGTGCCACGCTAGAGCCTATAACCTCTCTATAAGTTCAACTCTGGTTGGTGGATCCAAAAAATCCTTTCAAAATTAATTCATTGCTTAAATTCGACTTTGAATGCTATGTCTTTGAATTATCCTTAAAACCTCCAAACTTCTGTAATGAAATTCAATATCCGCAAAAGTTTGAAATATCATGCTCAAAACCAAGAAGACAACAAAGAAGTTCAACCTCAATAAAATTTACCGCAAGAATTACAATGAATAATAAATTCAAATATTTTCTCAAGATTAAGTATGTCTGGAAAATCTTAAAGTTTGTTGAACGTGATTAATGTTCCTTTTTTTCCTGACGACCTTAAATTAAATACAAAAGTCTTACTCACCTGGTACTTTCACAACTTCCTCGTATGTCACCAAATCTAGTTGATCAAATACTGCATTATGTTTCGCCAAATATTTATCTCGACATTGTTTCTTTTTGCGACTAAATATGGAACAATTAACTATAAAAATAAATTAGAAAAGAAGAAAAAAAGACAGTAAAAAAAAGGAATTAGATACAAATGCTGCCACTTCCGAATCGTACTTGTTTTCTTTATTAAATTTTCATTTGTAGAGAAGAGAAAATTTATTTGATAGAAAAATTGAAAAAGAAATTGTATTCTAAGTCAGGCAGACGCTGTTGCAAGCAAATTGATGGAACGGACGTGTCAAATTGGATACTAATTAAAATCTCATTTAAATAAGCAGAGAAAAAATGTCTTCAATTAAAAATGCTTGGGGAAAAAAAAATAATAATTTAGTGCAAAAAAAGCTGCTGTCAGGCAAGGAAGCAACAAAATTGGGTCAAGAAGCTCACAAAAAAGTTTATGTATGGGAGTTGTTCATAAATGATGTCCAATTATATGGCAAACTATCTTTGGAAATGTTACACATTATCCAGGGGGGAAGTTGCTCTTTCTGAACATGTAATTTCCTGGACATCATTTATGAACATACCAAAAAAATCGAATTTGATTAAAGTTATATTTCACAATTTATGGACACATTCACAGATTTATGCACAGTCATATGCACAGCTGTAGTGTTATCAATACATATTAAATTTGATATATGTGAAAAATTTTAGTTCTGTAATATGAAAGAATTTTAAAATATATATAAATGGTAATGTACGATTGTTTCAAGTGGGTTGAATGCTGCTCCGATCGAATTTATGCAGTCGATGCTTTATAATATGAATTTTAAGTACAAAAAGTTATTATTTTAAGAGCGGAGGGGTTAAAAATGGAGGGGAATGCAAATCAATACGTGAAAATATTTTTAAGTAAAAAAGTGCTTTATAAAAATTAAATTTTCCAAAATAACTAAAATACAATTTACAGTCCAAAAGTAAAGTTTCACATTTACGACCGAGAACAAAAAAAAACTAAACAAACAAAATACAATGAAATTTATATTTAAATGAACAACACTTTTAGATTAAACAAACATTGAGGTTCTCAGGAAAATACCCTTGGAAAGATTTTTATATCTGAAATGGAACCGAACTTTTGTGTTATTTAATTCTGAAAATTTTATTTGCTAGGTTAATTTCCACCTCATTAACTGAAATAAGCTTTTACCTATGCATACATTGTAGGGAGTATTTCTGAGGTATTTATTTATTTATTTTGTATCAATTTTTGTGTCATACAGAATTAATTTATTTTATTGACAAGGCTTCATGTAGGGAAGAATTTTGGCAATTCAAAGGGATTATATTCCATACAATTAGTTTTCAATTTTTGGTAAAATGACATGTGGTGAAATATTTTTTCGTTTGAATTTGAGCAATATCGAAACTATTTGAAGCTCGGAGATTGAAAAAATGTTATTTTTAAGCATTCCTTCGTGCCAAGTTGTAATCACATACTCCATATGTAGGGTGACCATCTGCGTAGTTTTACAACGGACAGTCCTGTATTTTAAAACGCTGTCCTGTATAAATTTGAAATATAGTATTGCTGTGTCTGAGCTCATTGGGACGTCGAGCATTATTTAAGTGAATCTGCCATTACAATTCAAATGACTTGGTAGCTGAAATGATAAGCAACAGATCAGAAATTTGTGCTCCTCATTTAGGAGATCTTGGGTTCGATTCCCAACAGGATTCACTTACTTAATCTCTATTACGTACTTTAATTTTTTTTTGAATTTAATTAAGTGGAAAAAAAATTCTAAAATTTTAGATTCGTGATAATCTGATACGAACAATTCAAGAGTTTCAACCGTTACAGTTTCCAAGAAAACTTGCAAAAATGTCATATTTGTCTGTCTGCGATGCAAAATTCGAAGTTTCATACCCTGCAGTTCCAAATTTTCGAAAATTAGGAAAATATAAAAACTTAAATAAAGCAATTTTTACATGAATTTTTGATGAAAATATTATTTTATCATTTGATAATAAGCATAATACAGCTAAATCTGTTTTCAAAACTATCAAAAACTTGAATAAAATAACAAAAAATTGTAACGGGTTTTCAAATTTAAATTTTTCGAACGTGCATATTAAAATACCCCTAGACTTTCGATAAGTCTGTCGAACATGAATTGAACGTATCAGGTGATAATTTTTAAAGCATGTATGTATGTAAAACTAGTCATACTTGACATCTTTTGAAAAACCTTAATTTACACTTTTGTAGATCATACTTTATCAGCGGCGTAGCCATTATTTTCCAATGGATGGGGTTTTGATTATTTGTATAAACATTTTTGAGTGGTTGAAACGAGGTGGGTTGATATCCACCCAATCACTCCCTTCAGCTTCGCCACTGAACTCTACTGAAAGTAAATTCCTTTTATTTTACCACAAGCATCCTCGCTTTATGAATTGCACAGATTCTCAGAAACTTTTTATTGATATTAATCAAACCTTAATTCAACCTTAGCCTTATTGCCTATGCTTACAACATGCTTTTACATCATTTCCTTCAATTCAATATTTCTTCTTATAAATTCGTACACAATTGTCGATAATTTTTAGAATGTCAACAACATTCTCCAATTTATCGCAGTAATTTTTTTAAGTCTGCATTCTTATGATTGATTTTAAAAGCTACAAAAAGTTCAAAGACTTCAAACATTTCAACACAAAAAACTTCTCCAAGGGTAACACAACACAATTTACACAAGAGTCGATACTTATTATTCTAAACAAAAATACCCAGACAAAACCACGAGAAATGCATGAAACTCAACGATAAATTAAATAAAAATTTGGAACCAAAAAAAAGGGGGATATTAAATTTGAGAAGAAAAAGTTCGCATTCATTTTTAAGACTTTTTTTTAATTTTAAGTTTTTTTTTTGTTTTTTTAATTTAATACCTGCTGAGCCATCACATCCATCTTCGTGAGCGGAACAACCGGGAGCAGCATCGCCTGAATAACATACATATAGACATAGACATTGAATTTTAAACATTTACATGAAGATTATGTATTAATCTTGTTGGTGTTTCATGGGGATATAGATGACATAGGTTATCATAATTAGACTAATGGAAATTTATGTAAAGGAAATCTAAATATGTAATTTTATGCGAATATTGATGACTGTTGAATATTATATTATCTAGGCTAATGTTCGCTTGTGTTAATTTTGAATGTATTCAAGTGTTGCAGAATTTATGCTGATTATGTAGTTTTTTGCTTTTATGATAATTATTTTTAGAGGATTAAAACTTGTTATGCCAATTTCGGAACAGATGAGTACTAAATAAAATTCAATTAATATTTTATGTTTTAAGTGATCACATCGAGATGGGAAAATTCATGAAATGCAGTTTATAAATTTTGATATTCAGACAGCCTATCGGCTTTCATAAAATTTATGTACATTTGCACTTAAAATAAAGCATTTAAATTCATGAGAAAAGCTCTTATCTCATTTTATGAATCGTATGTTCATTGTGTGTGATGGTTTGATGGTCAAAGTTATGACAATAGAGGCACATTTACAACATTTTATATATTTTATTTTAATAAAATAATATTTTTATTCACATATAAAGGAAGGGGGTCGAGTCATTCATTTATTACGTAAAATATAAATCCCGAGTGTCAAATAAGCTCAAGTAGTGACGTTTTGCTAAAGTTACACTACTCGTTGAGGGTTGGGAGTTATCACTAAGTCGCTATCATTTCTAATCTTGTCTTTATGTCGCTAGAGTATGTATCCTGGATATTAAAAGGAGGTCTATTCCTTGAAAATTCTTCATTCAAGCTTAAATGAAGTATTCAAAGTAATAATAATGTGTGAAGGGCCCAGCTTTTCAGCCCGAGGCACTGCGATTCAATTAAGTATTCAAAGTAAGATTACAGTAAATATATGAATGACTTGATCCTGAGCGACACACTGGGACACATTTCTTGCTCTTAGCATTAAACAACTATCAGAGCATCCCTACATTCTGTCCTAGGTACCCCATTGTGTATCGCTCGTGCATAAAGCATAAATATTTCATTTTTTTAACACACACAAAAAAAAAACTCAATTTATGTAAGAAGAACGAAAGAAACATGGGAAATGAATTATAAATAAAAGCTCTTGCTCACACACTCACTTACATTCAGATAAACATAAAATAATTTTACAACTTTTGAATGGAAACATAAAAAATTATTCTAATAAAAGCTTTATTTTTTTCGGAGGAGTCAGCAAGTGGAAAAAGAGAAAGACATTTTGAGACAAATTCTGCTTGAGACATTAAATTTTAGAGTGCCATTTGAGTGCAAATTAGTCCCGTTATTTTGTGATATTTTAAATACTTTGTTTGTGGCGAAGAGAAGCTTTGGGAATTTTACAGGAATGGCAAATTTGTAGTCAATGACTGAGATATGCTTTGGTAAAGTAAAAATACCAAAAGCTCATTATAAAATTTGATTTTCTGTGAAGCAATGAAATTAAATTGAAATGAAAATTAAATTTTTGGTAAGTTTGCGTCATGTTGAGTAATTGAAATTATTTTTAATATATTGGGAATTTTTGCAGAAGCATCAAAGGCTGTTGTGTCTTTTATGTAACTTGCACTTTGCTGTTCATTTATCATTATGAAAATGTATTTCATTTTGACGGAAGGAGCTTCAAAATTTCAAATTAAATATTTGCATAATTAAAATGGATTTTTCATTCCTCAAAATCGACTGAAAATCAGTTTCATTAATTACAAGCTACAAATTTTATGTCAGGTAACACAACACAAGATTTTGAGGGCTACAGAACATCTAAACAATCCACTTGTGAAACTACTCATGAAGAAACAGAAAACTACAAATTAAAAGGATCAATTACTTCTTGAAGTGGATATTCAATTAAGTTTTAATGAACTATCTGTCTTCCTACAAGCAAGAAGGTTACGAATTTTTTCCACTAACCAAAAAACTATGCTATTAAATGTTCTACGAGCCATAGGTCATTAGTGATAGCAATAAATTTTCACAGAAAAAAATCTTTTCAATTAGACTGACGACTTAATAGCACGAAAGGAAGGAAGTAAAGTCTCAAAGTAGTCATTTTTCTTGTGCTGCTTTATGATGTGAAACCACAAGCTCAATGATATGAGATGTGAATGTCGAATTTTGTGGTTCGAATATTGATCTGTTTACTGTTGTGCTTAAATTTGATAAAATGCCTCAATTTAAGTGCCTTTAAAGACATTTCTCATTCCATATGCTGTTCCTCATAATATTTATTGACGTTCTGAGTATCACTGTGTATTTTATCATTATTTCAAATTTATGCGAACCAGTGCACTTATGCTACATATTTGTTGATGTGATCTGTACATATTTGAGTATAAAATTTAAGTGCCTTACATGAAGCCAATTTAATTGCATCAGATATTCTCAATAAATACTCATTAATGTTCCGAAAATTTCAATAAATATTCAAATTGCATCCAACAAATAAAATAATATTGAATCCATAAATTTAATAGCCTAAAGATTGCTACCGAAAATTTTATGAGTCTTATCAGGTCGAGGCATAAACATTGACAAGACTTTAGGTCATTCGTGTGTTTTCCTTCACTTTGACATGCCATTAAAATTATGTTAAAGAAGTTATCCGAGCCAAAATCTTGTCAACTTTGAAATAAAGTAATTATTATGAAGATTTTGTGTCTTATAAGTTTTATGGACATCCTTTGAATAACAACAGACGAGTAGTAAATACGAAAACAACAAGACATGAATGAACATGACAAGTTTATTTTTGACATAGAACAAGAAACTTTATTAACTTGCTAGAGCAAGCCCTGAAGGTGAAAGTTTATAATTGAAAATTTTTCTAATTCTGTGTACACACAAAAACTTTGAACTTTTTTTTTGTGTTTTGATCACAAAAAGGATGATCTGAGAATGAGTTGACAATTATTTGTCTTTTGAAACTATCTGAGTTTTAAGATGTTTGGCATGTTCTTGGTGTCGTCTATTGATTCTTGTATCAAAAGATGGGGCAATTAGAGAAGATAGGAGGTAGACAGTGGTGTTGTAGCTATAATATACAGAAGGAGGAGGAGTAGTTTATAAAGATAAAGTTTAACATTCTATTTCTTGAAGTTTGGAGATGACAAAGAGAAAGCATAGCTATGTATATGTTCAAATTAATTGACTAAACTTTTAGAGTAGATTATGCCTAGACCTAAGCATAGTAAACCTTCTCCAAGCTCAACCACTGTTTCTACCCCTCCAGCTACCCGCCTCTAGTTGTATAAGAAACTTAAGAATCACATCAGCTCAATAGTCAATTTTATCTGCCTTTCAGTTTATGTTTTTCATGTCAAACTTTAAACATGTAACATGTAACAGATATGCAAATAGAAACATCAAACATACAACCTAGAAATTAATTGAATAATGAAAGAAAAACAGGAAAAAATTAACAAAAAAAAATAGGAAATTCGCTGTCAGTTATTTTTGTGATATTTAAGATGTTTTATTTTCTTCGTATGAATTATGAGTGGAAGACGAAGGTACGAAAATGAAAAATCAATTTAGCAATCAAAAACATAAACGTCAATTACAGGCACACATAAAGATAGGAAGGATAGATAAAATCAAGGACTAAGTAAGAGAACTTGTGAAAACGTAAAAAAATATAAATTTTAATCTTTTTATGTTCAAATTGAATTTTTTTGACATTTTTATTTCATTTTTTCGGATGGATTATATGCTTTCCCGATGACGAAATCGAGACCGAGACTTCCCGGGAAGTCTCGGTCTCGATCTCGTCTCGGTCTCGAGAATTTTCCGAGACCGAGACCCGAGACTAGAGAAGAAAAAAATTTAAGTAAAATGATAATTTTAGAATTTTTCCCATCACAGTTTGTAGTTGATCTTACAGTTAGGGTAAATGACCTTGAAATTTGCGCATTTTCACACATGAAATTTTCATTTGCTTCAATCTCTTCGGAGGTATGGGATTTTTTCTCTTTTTGTATGGGATTTTTCGGGTGCAAATTATTGAGCTTCCTAATGGTTTAATATCACTAAAAATTAAATCAGCTGTATAATGCACTGCTAAGCATTCAACCAACATCTACCCAGAGTGAACGTAATTTTTCAATCAGCAATAATGTTTTGACCAAGCAAAGGAAGCGATTGCTTAACAAAAACTTAAATGCTATCGTTTTTGTGAAAAGTCATTTCCAAAACCCAGAATAGTTTTAATAGGGACACACTTTCTTATCATTATGCTTTTCTTTTATCATTACGTATTTCGTATTTCTTTTATATTTTATAATAGTATTAAGACAATAAAATTAGTTTGACTGATCGCATAACAAGGAATATATCCAGAAGTTCAATAACAAATAGACGTAATCTACATGTTCTAAGTGTTTTTTAATTACTTTCAGCGAAATTTTAAGTAGTTTTTAAAGTCGAGACTTCCCGGGAATTCCCGGGAAGTCTCGGTCTCGGTCTCGGTCTCGAGAATTTGTCGAGACCGAGAAATCGAGAAAGCTTAATGGATTAATAAGGTGGGGGTGAAAACGGAAGGAAGCATTCTTACCTTGTTCCGATTTTGATTTATCGGCTGACTGACATGCGATGCGCCACTCTTGAAGCTCAGGCGATGGAATCAAACCTGCAGAACCGCCTGCAGTGTCATGCCTGGCTTGCCACCAATGATGATCATCTTTGCTTATTATCTGTGGATGGGATGTGAATGAAAGTCATGCTTAGACAGTTTTGTATGAATGATTTACTGTTAATGGGGGTTGATTTTTTTTGTATTGAGTGTTGAAAGGTTTCTCGTTAAATTTGAGGATTGCTTTATGATTTTTTTTATGGGATGAAATATATTTTTGAGGATAATGGTCTTCGATTAAGCAGCAATGATAGTTAACATGACACAGAGTCCTGAAAGTGTCGTAGAAAAATGAGGGTACACTGATAATGACCATTAAGCTTGTATATGTTCAAAATTTTAAACTCCACTCTCTGGAACACATCCTGACCAAGACAATATATCCACAAAAACTCTCAAAATTTCGATTGAATCAATTTCTTTTAAATAAAGTAAAGATTAACAACCCTTGAAAAAATTCAATCCAATCCAATTTAATCTACAGCACAAATGATTAAATGAATTTTCCCCATGAGAACTCTCAAAATACAAAATTGACTTGATTGTATAGAAAATAAATCAATTTATTTATTTTGACAGAATCTCGTCGGAATTCGACTCAAATCAACTCAATAAAAAAAATTTATCTTGCATGTTATATTTTGTGAAAATGTGAATCAAAACAAACTTAATTACCTGTAAAATGTCACCAACATGAAAAGCAATGCCAGCTTGGGCACATGGTATCAAGTCATCATCTAATGGATCATAATCGAATTGAGCACGAACGAATATCTGTAAATTAATGAAGATATAAATTTAATATGACCCTCAATTATTTTCTTTTTATCTTAATTTTATTCATAATAAGTTAATGTAACGTGAATTAACAAGATGTGACACAACTACGTAGCTCCTAATATAGCTTTACTAATGAGATAAAATCTGGCTTTTATCCTTCATTTATTTAAGCTAATTCTAGATGAAATGATAAAGTTATGAATGAATATTTTAATAATTCAAGAAATGTCTCTAACGGGTTGTTCATAAATGATGTTTGTCCATTATTGGCACTTCCAAATCAACGTGACAGAAACGTAAGTTGGCTTAAAAAAGTTTTAATTTCTTTAGAAGACATCATTTATAAACGACCCCCAAATTTAAGCATTTATTTTCGTGTGATTTAAATTTAAAACTGATATCACATTTTGCGGTAAGTGTCATAAGAAAAACACACAGCATAAAGCTTCAATAATTAAAACTTTTAACTCATTTTGTTCTTCTTGAATAATTTAATTTTATTCATCGTATACGTTCCAAAGTAGAATTGAGCATTAAGTACACACGTACAAGTATGAGAATATTAATGAAGTAATTAGGAGCGAACGTAGCTTAATATGTGAGGTGCGAGGAATGAGTACTTACTAAAACAGGTGCTGGTCTTATCCTGAATAGCTGATAGCATTAAAAAAGTATCATACAGAAATATATATATTTACATACACATAGAAACGAAATTAAGTGAGAATATGTTGAGGAATTAATTATTCAGTGGAAAGTGTATTTAAAGTGTGTGAGGAACTAAAGCTACATAGACTTGTAACAGTATGATGAGACTTAAAAACCACTAAACTGAACACATTAAATATGCACGCATAGATTGAAACTCGAGAATTAATTAGCAATTAATAACACTTTTCGTACGAGGTATAATCAGCAGTTTTCCTACTTATATAGCTGTTGAAATGAATAAGGACGTGATAAGTTGATGAACTTTTTGCATTATAGCATATTCTTATTTAAACGACAAGAGATGAAGAAGTCATGCAAATATTGCAGCTACTATAAGTGATGAATAAGAGTTTTTGGTGACCCAAGGGATTATGTCAAGACAGTGCTTCAATACAGAAGGACTGATACTTCTAACAGTGGAATAAGGATGAGAAGATTTAATCTTAGCAACAGCATCTCAAGGCAATGCCTTAATTATCATCCCTTCCTACTCTAGTTTCATCCCTAAGATACTGCAAATTTCCTTAAATTCTTAACAATTCTTCTTACTTCTTGGCAAAGCAATAATTGGAGCCCAGAAGATGTTCTTAAGTCAGAACTTTTATATAAATCTACAAAAAAATTTCAGTCCATCATAAAACATCAATCGTCTCCTTAACGACTATCTACACTCCATTAGACCCCAATTCACATTATATTACAATGACAGGAATTTCAAGCAATATTTCTAAATGTTTATGGCATTCAGTATCTTAATATCGAATTTTATGCTGACATTTACCTTCATAGAGATCACGTGTATTTTAATTTTTAAGAGTACGTGCTTTAATTATGCTGGAATTTTTAAGAAAGGAAAATTATCGTTTATCGCATACTAATTTAATGACATGAACTTTTTGGGGATTCAAGGACAGACAATGAATCTATAAAATTTTAAATTTGTAACTTCACGAGTCTAAAATTATCTTTAAATTTTAAATACATTTTCTTTTGAGTCATCAGATTCGTGGGAGGCAATGATTAATGGGGACAGAATAGCTTGACATGTGCCTTGATTTAGGTAGAAAAAGTTTCATTCAAGAAAAAAGGTCAAAAGTTTATTCTTAGAAGTTACGGAAATCCAACAGCATTCAATATAAGAACATCTTTTATTGGATAAAAGTATCAAGCGGATTTTCCATCCAAAATCTCATCGATATCCTTTGATGTTAAATATTATAAAAGAAAACTCAACTTCCGTTTGCTTGATATTTTCCTGGAAAATTTTCATCCAATTTGTGTTGCTTCTGTTAATAATTCCCGGGTGGACACAGCCAGTTAAAGTCCATTATTGGACAATCATTTAACAGTCTTTTAACTTGTCGAAATATATACGATATAGAGAACTATACGTTAACTAGACTTTAACTGGACATTCATGCTAATCAATCAAGTGTTCGAAACTCAAAAATAATTTTCCTTACTTTTTTGACCATATACTTCACAAGCGCTTACAGAAATCACTTATATAAGGTCCACCAAAATTTGTATGAAACTTTTAAGTAAATATAATTTTTTCACGCGCAAGTGTTCGAGACTCAATTTTTACTAGAGATTTTTGATAAGTGTTAGTGTACTTTAATTAATTAATTACACTAATACAATAATAAAATTTTACAAATGAAAAAAATATGGAGAAAAATACACGTGTTATTTATTTTATTTTGATTTTTTTGTAACTGGACATTTACTAGACATATTTGCAATTCCTATGTCCAGTTAAATGGAAAGCGCAAAATATGTCATTAGTCGTCCCTAAGTCTAGTTGCAAAGGCACGTCAATGGATACTTACTCGCCGTGAACAGGCAAGTCAATGGCAAGCTTTTAACTAGTACTTTGTCCACTCGGTATTTTGAAGGATTTTATCGAATTAAGGTCAATATTTTGCAATTTTATGAATGGAGATTTTCTTGAAACTGATGGAACTTTGTGTAGGAGCTTCAATCTTTTGAGCTATGGATAACATTCATAAAATAATGAGCTTAATCTTATTAAATGTTTGAAGTTTTGTAAATTTTAAAGACTTTAGCTTTGCTTTGTTGCAATGTTCTTCATAAAGAGCGACCAATCTGTCTAAAAATTACCTACAGCTAGGTGCAAGCTAGGTCAAGCAAGATCAAATGCCATTTTGGTTTCCTATTCCCATTAGATAAGTCCCAGGTTTTGGGAAGGGGTAATTTTAAGGAATGTTTAATTATGTTTTCAATTCTAGATTCTAGTTATCAACAATTTTGGCAAACATCAATCAATCTAATTCCGGTTAGCTTCATTACATAATATCCACAAATAATTAAGCCTAACCCAACATTTGGTTATTATAATTTCAATTTATTTTAATTAAATTAACTTGATTGACATCGAAAATCTAGACAGATAATTATATTCAGCAGTAGATACCTACATAATTAAAGTCCCCCAAAAAATTGTCCATAAACAAAATGTCAGTCAGTTAAATTAATTTTTAATCAAACTCATGGAAATAAACAAATTTAAAGCCATAAAAAAATTTAATTAAAATTTTAATGAAAACTATAAAAGAAGGAAGTTCATTAAAATTTCATGGATGAAATAATTTTATGCTGAATTAATTTTTTTGAATGTACATTATGAGATAATGCAGAGTTTCTATAGCTTAATTCATAAAAAGTTGTATCCTCTATGTGAGCATATTCATGATTCATTATTAAAGTTTGTGTAAGTTATGAATGACTTATGGGAATGTTAACAATAATATCATGTGTTAGTGTTCCATTCAAAAAATAATACTGTGTTAATGAAGCATATTTACCTCGCATGGTGGCGGAGCACTTCTATAAGAAGGAACTATCTTAAATGTTATTGAGCCTCGAGCGTCACGCTGTGAAAATAAATTCATTTTATGAATGTTTTTTTCAATTTATTGTTTCATGCCTTATCTTTATCTTCGGCACCAACTGTACACATACAAAATGTCTGTTCACAATTGTCACATACATACCAGTAATCTTTGTAATTGACTAACAGTTTGATTCTGCACAGGTTGTCCATTTATTTCACGTATTTCATCGCCCACATGTAACGTCGCTTGACGATGAATCATGCCACCGTGCATAATTCTTGCGACAATACATCGGCCATCCTCAGTCATTTTAAGTGTTATTCCCATTGGTTCATCTGTATTCTTCTGGAATTGCACGAGTCGTACACGCGTAACATGTTGAAGCTCTCCATTATCGGTCATGTTATCGACCTCATCGCCTCCGTTCAAATAAGGCTGGAGCGGGGGTGGTGTGACACGAAGTGCTTCCTCGCCATACACTTCTCGTGCGACCACGTCATGCGTGTGCAACAGAGCCTATAATATTAAATGAAAAGAAGAAAGAAGACATTTTATTAGTTGAGTTTGGGACATGAAATATTGGATTTATGATAAGTCTGGTTAATTTGGGTAATGGAATCTGTGTTGATATGTCATCTCCTTCATTACTCCTTCAATTAAGTTGATCAGCTTGTCTGAATCCACGTTTGAGCTATCAATATTCTCATTATCCTGTGCTGTATTTTGAATGTGGATAGAAAGTATGTTTATCTTTGTGGCTTTGTTGAAGTTTTTACTCCTATAGATAATTATACAAAAACAAACTTTTTTTGTGGAACTAACAAAGCATAATCAAATCCCCATTTTTCATAAAATAAAATATATATTCAACATATTTCTGCCCTCCTCAAGAACACCTCTTTTCCTCCCATTTTTTGCATAAATCATAATGTTTTCAACAAAAGAGACTCTTCGTCTTGTTATGTTCGTTTGTGGAAAAGTTTTTCTTATTTTGTGATGAAAAAAAATTCTTTTTTTCTTGTTGATAAGAAATTAAATTTTCGAAAAAAAATTTCTTGCATTTCAAAAGAAAATGTTTTTGCATGAATTTAGTTGAAAACCTTTTTATGTTCATGAAAGATGCAGCATGCAGGGATGAAATTTTAATGTAATTTCGAAAGTGAAATTTTATTGCGAAACTTTCATCAATGTACTGGTTTAAATCTTGAACCCCAAAATTAAGATTTAATTATTTTGTAAAATTTCGCAAATATTTATCAACATGTGGCCTGCGGCTGTGATTCTCAAAATATAATCAAGATTAGAATTCTCAAAAAATTGATTAACATTTAATTTTAAATTCAGACAAATTTGCTTAAAAATTCATGAATATCCTGTATCTAAATTCCAAAATATGTTTTCGTATTTGCTTCAATAATAACGGCATTGAATAAAATATTAAATAATTCAGTTACAAAATTCGTGCCTTAAACCCAAATGCAAATGCTGTTCTAACCAAATCTCAAAATAAAATTCAATTCAAGAATGAAGAAGTCATTTAGTATATCCAAAAAAATTTTTGATTTTCATGCGGTGCATGATTTTGTGCATAAATATAAAAGCACGTAAACCAAATGTGATTTTTTTGAATAAACCGCAAGAAACATTTTGTGAATTTTTCTGATCCTTTTACTTTTCAATCTTAGCAAAAGTTAAAGGCACGAACATCAAATGCAACATTTTAATATTTTATTAGCTTTATTCTTCTTGGAAAGTTCACACGGGTACACACGTAAAACCTTTTTGGGATCCGGATAATATTCAAAATTCATTCGAAATGGCATTTTATGCTTACAACTCGGATCATGAAATAAACAAAATTAGGCTTCTGTTTCCCACGATGTTTTGAACGTTCAGTTTGTAAATAATATGAACTTTTGGAATTAATCAACAGAAAACTTAGCTACAAATTTCAATTTCATGTCCATTTTCATTAATTTTTTACTTCAATTTAAATAAAACGTTTATAAAATTTTGTTAGCAATGGCAACAAAGTACCAGAAAATGTTCTCTTTTTGAAAGCTTTCAGATCCTAAAGATTAATTAAAAATTAATGAAAATCTCAAAAGAAAAATATTAATATAATTAATTTCGAAAATGAGAAGAAAACATAAACTTTGAGGTTTTTTTTCTGTCCTAGCCTTGAGATATCCAGTCAACAAACAATACGATTTTCATGTTGCTGAACTTCTTCCTCATAAATGTCAAACATTTCTGTATTAAAAAGAAATTATTAAAAATATCTTAAATGCATAAACATAAATTATACATCCACAAGAATCCCAATAATGTAAATGTCTCTGAATTCCAATAGCTGGAAGGAAAAAAGTCAAGCCTACATCTCGAGACAGAACAAAAGACTCCGTCTAGGCACCAAAAAAAAAATTCAATCAATTTGGTTAACTGAAAGTGATTGATGGTGACAGCAAAAAATGGGGGTGGAATTGCTGTCGTATTTTCTTTAGAATCGAAAAAAAATCTTGTTGGTTTTAAAGTTATATTTAAGAGAATCAATTTGCATTAGATCTTTAGATATTTCCAATTCATCTGCCAAGAAAATAACATTTTTTTTTCTGGGTTGGAAGGAAAAGTCAGACGCAAAAAAGTGAAATTGGCGATTGTAGATATTTTTGGACTTATTTGCTTTTAAATGAGGATTTATGGGAGGGAGTCTTTTGCGAATGATGTAGGATTACCATCCGAGACACCCTTAGCTTGTCTTTATGTCCATCTCCTTGATAAAGCAGGCTCAGAGAGTTCTGAAGCCGATCGATATTCCATAAAAAAATGCTACAAATTACAGTTAAACGAGGGAGTCCAGAGCCTTTACTTTCATATAGACGTCACTATTGAACAAGCCCCAATTTACGATTGCGATTAATTATTTGAATGGATATGAATTGAGATAAAGCATTCAATTAAGAGGAATTATGAGTTTTAGAACCGACTTGCGTATTAATTTCAACTTCTGAATATGCCAAAAAAATAAAAACGAAGAAAAGGTAGCAATTTAATAAGAAGCACAGCCCAAAAAAACCATTTTCTTTTGGTTTTAGCTTTACATAATGAACATGCAACTTATAGCCCATTCTGAACCCTTTTTTATTTCTCAATTTTTTTCTTCATCTTTCCAATCTTAAATTGTCGGATTTGTACCTTCAAATAAATTAAGAACAGACCACAAGCTGCGTGTTACAGTTATCAATAAAATATAAAATATATTTTTTATAGACAATACAGCATTCATGCTCGAATCCCACAGAAAAGCACTTAAAAATCAATAAAACAAATTTGATGCCATAAATTTCATGTAGTGATAGAATCAATTGAGAGAAAATTCATTGAATGAATTGAAAATGAGGGTCTGATGGTGTAAAGGATAAGAGAATGAAGAAGTGGAAAAATTAAATTGAACAAGAAAAATCCTTTTCAGAAAGAAGAGAGATTCGAAAGATAGATTTTTCATCGTGTTGTAGCATTGACATTTAAATCGTTAATTAATTCAATTTTTTCTGACTTTTTTTTTGTTCATGCTAAATTGTTTTTCGATTCAATTTATGTTTTACATGAAGAAATGCCAAGAGTTGTTCAACTAAGCTTGATGGAATTTTGTTGAAACTATTTGTATATTTTGTGTCTTTCAAGGGGTTATTCGCAAGTGACATCAAAAACATTCTAAAATGCTTCATTTTGAACACCATTTAAAGTTTTTTTAACATGCTTGAGCTTTTGTCCTGCTTGCTAAACCTATTGATAAGTCAATACTTTATTCATCTTTCAAAAAATCAAACATCATTTATAAAAAAACATTTATAGCTCTTAAGATAGCAAAATAAAGCCATAGCAGCCGAAAAACGTTTGAATTGTATTACCTCTAATCAAATATCGATGGTTCATAGTAAATAAAGAACCAAGTTTTGAGTTCATTGCCTTTTTTGTTAAGTTTGAATCTATTGTTGAATTTTTATTATGGTCAATTGACTTCAAAAGGACTTAACTTCATTATTTTTGCATAATATTTCCATAAAATTCCATTTTAATTTTCAGATTCTTAAAGAATCATGAAAAATTCACTGAAAAAGTTTTTATTTTTTGAGGGTCGTTCATAAATGATGTTTATTAATTGAATTGGGTCAAAATTGCAAAGAAATAATTTCTACATTCAAAATTCTATAAAAAAACAATTTGTGGGTCAATAAAAAATAATTTTTCATTAGACGTAACTTTAGAACTTCCCCACAAAAACCAACAATCAAATTCAAAAAGTCTTCAAAATAATTCAAGCATGCAGCAGCATGAAATGATGGAAAAATATTTTATTCATCTAAAAAGTTGGATGTTATTCAATAATAGCAAAGTCAGAAATCGTAAATGGCTCATGAAATATTCTTTTTACTATAAATCATGTATTTTTCATAATAAAAACTTTTGAAGTTTTCCCAAGCTTTATTTCATGTTTACTTCAAGTATTTATTTTTAAAAGTAAAATGAATTTCAAAAGTATGTGAAAGGAACAAGAAGAAAACTTTTGAAATGTATATTTTTTATGAATTTTAAGCATCATATTTTTGAAATGTACGTGGGATTAGAAGCATATCTAGAGTGTCAATAGAGATACATCAAAAGTATTCATCCTTTAAATTTTGTTTTATGAATTTTAATATCATTCGGGTATAATCTCATTTGGGTGTTGATTCCATCACATCTCTCATTTTTAAGAACAAAAACTTTATGTTTTATGGTCCATTCTTTACATTTTGATGAGTCGCACAAGAAAAAATTTTTAATTACTGACAAAAAAGTCATAAAATTTAATCATTAAAATTCCTTCATTCATCTCAGGTTTTCAAATAAAATAATTTTATGTTTAGTTCATGATGCTTATAAAGATACTAATGATGGGGATTTGGAATGTACAACAGATGAGAGGGGTTGTCAAACTGGAATGTGATGTTTGAACATTGAATTCTTGGATCAGTGTAAGAGGACAAATATTTCAATGTGTGCCGATCAGGGGGAGGGGGGCAGTCAAAAAATACATTATTTTAAGGATGTATGTTCCATTACTCTAATACTTCTACTTTTGATCACGAATAAACATTCAAATTGAGGAATTCAATCCATACTTCTGAAAAACCTAAAGAATGCTAATTTTTGAACCCACCCTGCTTCCTTACCCTCCATTTAAAACATAACCTAAAATAAAAATTCCAAATTTTAATAGCTTCTAGCCAATTCATAATTTACATCACACAATATCCAAACAACCCGTAAGCATATCCCAAAATTGTTCAACAGAGAAACAAAAAAAAAGCTTAAATTAAAATTCTTCGAGTTTCCGGAGGGAATATGCTAAAAGCTTTCGTTTTCCAACATCAAAAAATTCTTCCATGGCTGATTTACTTTTTCTTAAATATAAGATTTAAGAATAAACTTCAAAGGAATCAAAATTACTCATAGGATTTGCTATTTATACA